TTATCTCTGCTGTTAAAACTATATAATAAATTTCATTTTCGGTATCAAAATCAGGATCAATCAACTGTGTTATCAGTATGGTAAATATAAATAGTGGATTTATATATCTTCAGTCTGCACAGAAAATATGCATAGTCCATTTCTTGATGAAAATATTGACGGAAACCACTTTACAGGTTTCTGTTTTTCACAGATTCCATCTTTTCGTCAACGGGATCTTCCTTGTCTACATTTAGTCTACTAAGCATACACCTGATCGTTCAGTGCACTGAATTTAGTTGAAAGATTGAACGATGTAGAGCTATTATTGTGACATCGTGGTAAGAAACACAATATAGATAGAAAAAATAAAACTTCAGTCGAAAAAATTCGAAAATTCTATGACTGCAATTAGGTTTTTGGTCATTAAGTCTAATTAATCGTGATAAAGCATATTCGTTGGTATATTAGTTGAATTTAATTGAGGCAATGAGTTTGATTTGTAATTCTGCTCTTGAATCAAATAAGCTTGTTTTTGTTTTGACGCATATCTTATACTTGACAGTTTTTGTGAGTTCGTTTGATCGATTCGTTGTTTCGTATTTTCACCTTTATGTTTTTTTTGTAGCATGGATGTTAAAGTCGAATTTGAATATGTTCCTGGCACATTAGTATATTGTTCTGTAGTATCCGCCTGTTTTTCTAATGTAAATGTGTGAGTTCTTGTCGATAATAAACTTGATACTGTTGGAGAATTACGAATTTCTTTCGTAGTTTTTTTTAAGATCGGGTTTTTTGATGATATCAATTCATAATGTTTGATTTCAGTTTTATTATATTGTTCGTTTAGTTTGAACACATTTTCAGATGTTAAATTTTCAGATGATTGAGATGTGCTCTGTGCGTTATCAATATGAACAATTGCTTCTAATTCTGAAGATTTTGGGTTTGTTTTTGAGAAGTGAACTAGTTTTGGAAGAGTAACTCGTCGTCGAGTTTGTTTCAATTGTTTGTCTAATAATTGAATAGATCTTGCCGCTGGTGATATTGGTAGATTTGGGAAAGCAAATGTTCTTTTTACATCGGCTGCTGGATATAAAGAAAATATTTGCGTTTGTAATAGGTGAAACGAAGTTACATAGGAGAAATCAACATAAGTAAGACGTGGTGAAAGGTTTATTTCACGGTTTTTTATCCATTTATTACAATATTCATTCCATTTTAATGGATCTTCCTCTCTTAATTGATCAGTAGAACAAAAACGAATTCTTCTTTACTTGATTTCATAATAATTTGTAAAATTTTTTTGATATCATTTTCTTCAAACACAATATGTTCGATATTGAAATATTTGATATTTTGTTGATTTAAATCATTGATGGATTTTGCTTTTTCTCTCAATGTTCGAAGTCGTTCGATACAAATATCAATTTTATTTTCCAATGATAATTCAGTTGTTTTAATCAACATATCAGGAGTTAATTTTACTTTTATTCTTCCATTACGGTATTCAAAACTCCAATAACGAATTCGTTTTATTATATTTGAATATTCTCCTTGAACTTTTCGAATTTGTTGTTGAACTTCATAAAATTGTTTTTTAAGATATTGTTTTAATACTTCTTCTACTTCCGAACTAAGAAATATTTTTAATTGTTTCATTTTAAACCATAAAGGAAATAAGTATTGTTTCACTGTCATCATATTTTCTTGATCGAGTTGAACATATTTTCCTGTATTCTTTACGTAACATGGATAAACATATTGAATAGATCGAAGAATATATTGTAATGGACGATCAAAAGTTTTTAATTGTTTTATTCGAACTAATTGTTGACAAAGGTCAAAAAATGTTTTCGTTTCACTTAAATCTTTTATATTGGAGAAGATATTTGTTAGTGTAAGTTGAGAAAATAAATGTTTTTCTGATGTTGATATTTGAAAATTTGTTTCTGTTGTTAAATCTTGACATTTTTTTTTTAATAGATGATTGATTTCATTTTCATTATCAAGAGATACTTTTAATATAGCAACAACATGAATTCCTGATCGAATTCCAGAAATAATATGAGTTGTATCTTTATCAATCATTGTTACTGGTATAGTTTCTCGAAGTTTATGCAATTGATCAGTGATACATTTTTCGTCATTTATATAGCAATAATGAAATATTCGAGATTTTTTATTTATGTGAAATATTAAATCAACTAATGGAGATATTTCATCGATAGAAATCATGTTTAATGCTAAACTTAACCATTGATCATCATCAATACCGATTTCATGCAGTAAATTTTTAGCTTCTATACGATCATCTTTGAGTATTTCGCAATATACAGTTTTGAATAATATTGGTTTAATTATGGCATTTTGTCGCAATAATATATTTCGAATAATTGAATCTGTTCTAGCATCGTACAAAGAACCGATATTAATATACTGTTGAACGGGTAAACGACGTATAGTAGTATCATTGGGCAATCTTTCAAGATGATTATCTTTTACAATCGATTCTGGATGAAGTGGGTTTTGCATGAATATTGTGAATAATTATAAGTCAAATGTCAAATGTACCTAAACATAAAAGTTAAATGATTAATTAATGATTGCTGAGTTATCTACGTTGAATTTATATGAAAAAAAAAAGAAATCTATGGAAGAATAGAATGTAAAATATCCAATGTAGTTGTAGTTTCTAATTGTAGAGAGATTCTCATATCTGAGTAGAGCTTATTATACTCAATAATTTTTTGAGACTATATGTTCTACATTGCATCCAATACAGAATTTCTTCAATAGATTTGGAATATACGTACAAAGTTTAACAAGCATTTCAATGTTAGAAGAATTTAAAAATATTGAAAATATAAAAACAACGAGCTCACGATAACACAATAAAGTATTACCCACGTTCAGTAAAAATCGATTAAAATTGAACTTTTCCTGCCTCTCTTTTTTTTTTTACATAGGTTACTCTTTCAAATGTTTAGATAACACGTAAATACTAGACGATGAATGACATGGCATTTCTAAATTCACAGTGATTCACTTCAACAAAAGATAAACTTCGTTGATGTACCCATTATCCGAAAGAAATGCGGAAGCCAATATTTTGAGCGATAATAAGGATTAAAATTTTTATGATGGTCTTTTCAAAGATTGCATTCGAGAAATTTTGGAATTGAGAGCGTTATTATCAGAATCTAGATAACAAGTGCTCGGCTGTAACTATTCATGTATATGGGTAGGGTCGGAAGCAAAAATAAGTCTAGCGACGTTCTCTGTTTTGTAAATCAATATTGTCATAGATTTTTTTTTAGACTTTTTTTTGATTGTTTCTTAGTAAAGATGAATGAACAATGTTGTTATATTGAAAATAAATGGAAAGATAATATTTGCAAAAAATAATTCCTAGTTTTGTTATCATGACCTATTGTAGAGTGGTAATAAATAATTACAAAGAATAATAATCATCTATGTTGCATACAAAAAGAGATTCATAGGATTGTAAATAACAATACGTATGTCAATGAAACTATAGAAGTAGAATTGAGAATCCTTTCTTTATTAAAAGTAAATATTCTTTATGCATCATTTTTATTCGTCACTACTAACTTATAGAAATTTTGTATAAAAGATTAATCAAATATATTATAGCTTGTGCCTATTTAGATATGAGCACAAGATTTTTCTTAGTCATACTCTTGATGTTTGCCTCTCTTGATTATTATACACACTTGCTCACTCGTTACAGATTTTCATATAGAAATTACGAGTAGAAGAAAGGTCTTACAATCTTAATTCGAATTCCGATATTATTCTTAAAGTTGTTCTTACCTAATTCACTTGTAATGTTACTGTATATAAAAAACTATCTTAATTCAAAATTAATACAAACTTATAATAAAATTTAAAAATTATCTAACTAGACTCGATCAGATTGAGAAAAAACAAAGATGAAATTTAATCTTTTCTGCAAGAATCTTAATCTTAGTTTGCTCCTGAAATATGTTGTTCATGTTATTACCATTTTTCTTCTTTCGTTTTCGTTCCTTACCTTTAGAAATAAATAATGCATATATTGCCATATTTTATATTTTGTTCTTATGAGTCTTCTACTCCTATAGAAACTTTTATAAGAATAAAATAAATAACAAAAAAAAATAATAAGTGGACGCTTTAATTATGAAATAATGTTCGTTTTCATTCTGTAACGTGTATTATGTAAGCTCGAAATATAAAAGAAAAATGAATTACTTGGTATAAAAAGATTTTGTTACATGAAGTTGAAGGAAGACAAAAACAAATAATTGAATTTCATTTCATTAAATGTCCTGTGAAATTCAGAATTTGATCACATTTTAGAAAGAAAATATTGCCTGTTAGAAATTAAAATTCTTTTCAGTGTTCATTTGATTGTAAATATATTCTTTTTGATTTGAAGTGAAGAGGAGTACTAAAATAAATGGACAGGATGTAGGTGTGAGTATGCAACAGGGTACTTGATAGGAACATCCACACTCCGAGACACACAATGATATCGAATCGGTAATTTGTTCGCCTAACATCAGTCTATATATGAAAGTAAAGCAGAAAAGAGACGTCGAATGAAAATGCAGAGAGCGGAACGATACAACTTCAACTGTTACATTATGATCACAAAAAGTCTGTTGTGTCTGTCTTGACGATTTTACCTTACACTTTTTAAATCCTATAATATATTGATCTACTACCTGTTCGAATTCATGTTTCTTATGGATTTTCTTATCTCCATCATATGACACAACAATCAAGTATAATTCATGAGACTCTTTAGTGTTCGCTTGACACAAGAAACTCTATATGGATAACTCAATTCGCTCTTTTGTAACTCTATACAGCGCACATCTAAATCCATTTGTATAAATCAGTTTCTTAGTTTAATGTTAATTCTTAATGAGAGGCAGATTTGGTCTCACTGCGGTCATTTTTTTTTAAATAAAAAGATAAAGGCAAACAAGCGATGAACACAAAAAAAATCGTCAATTTGATGTTGGTTTAGACAAAACATTGAATACAGCAGCAATAATTCTAAGTACAGTTCCGAAAACAAATATTAGATAATTTTTCAATGCTGCAACATCCTTAAAATATAAGATTGACCAAAGTGCAACAACCGTTGTTGGTTCTATTGATATAAGTGGAAATGAAATTGCTTGACTTAATGTACTATTGGCAAGAATAAAGCCAGCTTGTGCAATACCCCACATAATGCGTGAAATAAATGCTGGTAATATGCTTTCAACATATACATAAGGACGATTACGCTTCAGAAGAATATATACATCATAGTAGGTCGATAATGCTAGCACGATACCTGTATACACAGAAAATACATAATGAAAACCATTTTTTTGCTGCTTCTGGATATTTGTCTCGATGATCTTGGATATAAGTACTAGATGTAGAAACGAGACCGAAGAAGATACCAGCCACAATCGCTAGACTACAACCAATAAAACGCTTTTTTATGCTTATAGTTGATGATACTTCTTCATTATCGTTTTGTTGTGGTACTAGTTCGATTGGCTTATCGACAATGTATGAAGTGGTCGAATGATGAAGGGATCGATAATCGACATTTTTTTCTATTGATTTACCCACACGAATAGCAAGAAATACGGCACCACTAAGGCAAGCAATAGCAACACCAACATAATTAAAAGCAGGAACTTCAACATCTTCTGGTTTTAAACAAAACCATCCAAAAAATGACCACTTGCCCATTCTATTAAAAAGACCCTGATTATCCTCTTTCTTCGACATCATACAACCACTCCCCAATAAACATGTTTGAGGTAGGGTGTTGCTGCTGATATAAAACTTGAACCGAAAAAGAAAATGGCTACTACAACAGAGATATAGCCAGTCCAAATTGGAGGAATATCAGATTCGGATACGACTGTAGTTGTCGTGTTAACAGTTGTTGTTGAGGACAAAAGCTCCATAAAGGTGCAATCAATTGAATAAATGTAAAGATGTAATCCTCGTTTTGAGATTTGTTCTTTATTGCTATCTAGGTACGAGGAGGTGACAATTTATGTATAGAACTTCCACTTTGTCGCTTATAAAATATTCCTTGAACGTATATAAATCGTACTTCGATTTACAAATACAATTCAGCGACAAAAATAGTTTTTTATGAATAATTTAATAATAATTTGTTGATACTAAGAAAAGAAGTGAAATATTCATGTTAATATAATTATAATCGTTTCAGAACACCGTTTTAATTATATCGTAGAAATGGATTTGATTTTTATCATTCGCCATTACTTTCTCTTGTCATATTGCTATAGCTCGTATTCATATACATTTTTTCTAGATGTTTTTTAATCCACAATTGTGAATCATAATTGCAATCCAAACACAGAATATATTCATTCATTTTGTTTACTTGTTTCTGACTTAGATTTCATGATCTTCTATACACGATAAAAAAAAAGCATTTATTTGCCGTGTAAATAGTTGAAACAAGAAAATATATGGATTATTAAAAAGTGATGTGTACATGACGAAATTAATAAACTTTGCGCACTTTTAGTCCGTTTTATCTTTTCTTCATTTCCAATCTTTTTAGTTCTATTTTAATTTGCATGACTGCTTCTTGTATCTTCTTCTATTTTTAATCTATCTACTTTCTTTTTAGCATGGTTACATTTTTCGCTTCATTTTATAGTTGTATTCTGTTTAACTCCAAGTTATACAGGTACAAGGTACAGCAAAAACAGTAACCGTACTAAAAATAGAAGACACAGAGAAAAAAAATCATAAAAATTACACATGTGATGACCGGACAATTCGTTGCGAACAATTCGTCACATGGACAATGTGTCGCAATGATATAATCCAAGCATAGTTTATATTTTTTTTTCAACAATGAAGCGACTTACTCAATTAAGTTTGAAACATGTAATCTAATGACTATAAAAATTATTGAAAATATTACTCATGCCTAAACTTCCATTTTCAATCTCGAGATGACAAAATCGGATCTGTTTTCTACTTCATAATTAATGTCAATAGCATGTAAAAAATCCTCGAGTACGAGGTCTCATCAAAACTATTTCTAGAATTGTATAAATCATCGATCAAAATTGACTAGTTTAGGTTTAAATACATAAAGTTACAAATGATGGTTGCTAAAGCGGCAGAATTTGTACATCGCATGCGAGGATAGGTGTGGGTGTATTAACATCCACTTTTAGGAGACTCACATCCACATCCACCCACACCCACATCCTCAGGAATAACAAGTCAAGGATAGATATAAGGAAGTAGATTTAGGAATAAGGTGTTAAGGATAAATATAAGGGGTTAGATATATATAAAAGGTTAAGAATACACATAGATATAAGGTATTAAAGATAGATATAGGAGGTTAAATATCGAAATAAGGGGCTACGGATAGGTATAAGGGGTTAGCAATAGGTGTACCAAAATGCGAAGCATATTGCTGTGAATGGTCAGTGAGAATGCTAAATGGTGAGAGAATAGGTAGACGGGTTTATAGGTACGCATCGAATGGTCAGATAAAAATATAGGTAGGTGTGGATAAGAATATAACGCTCACGCTGACGAGCGCTCATGAACGTGAGCGTTTCTGACTTGTCGAAAGTGCAAGTGTCCCTGTTCCTTTTTTTCAACTATATTCCCCAAAAATCGACATTGACAACTTTCATGCCTGGGGTCTCTCAGGACTCGCAAAAAAAAAATTTCTCGTTGTTCTCTCCCAAGTTCTTATATTTTGATAGCCCTAAGTGTGCTCATTCCAAATATCATATAACTTTACGAAATCACTCTAATAATAAGAAAAATATGAAGCATTCAATGAAAGTCTTAAAAACCAGTTTTGGATTCAAAGCTTTATTAAATTTTAGTTTATAGTCATTACAAATAGATCGATTCGATGCAGACTTTTTTCTCTCTCAGAATCTATAACAATGTATCTGACATTTATTTGTTCTCATACTAATAAATGCCAAGGATCTCCCTAATTCGGTGATTTTTTTGATAAATAACGATTTTTCTTGCCTTATGAAGTTGAATTTTTTTTCTTCTGTATCAGCATTATTTTATTTGTGAATATGAAATTCTATATACTCCCTTACTATATCACTTTTACCTTGAAATTCGACGACTGCAAATTTTCTTTTCTTATTAATGCTCACAATCACAACAAATAGCATCTTTTATATCAATATTCGACGTTTTTCGAGTAGAAGAGCTCGTCTTTCACCTTTTATAAATATGTTTTTTGGAATTAGCACAAAACACCGAGTCGACTATTATGCTTGTCAAAAAACAATAGGCGTGGCTGTTTTTTGAATAACTCGAGTACGCAAACAGCTAGAGACCTACGGTTTTCACCAATCGAAAGAAGAGACAATCGAACGTCTTTTTCTCTAATATTGTAGTAGATGAAATCATTTTAAAGTCAGTGATTTCTGCAAAGCATCGAAAAAATGTGTAAAAACGTCATGTCATTCAGATGAAATTTTGACAAAAAGTAAGAAAATTTGCTTAAAAATTAAAAGAAATCCATAGTTTTCGTGCGAGTAAACAGATGATTTTATTTGCTCAACATCAGGATATGGGAAAATAATCATTCGAATTAGATCTTGAACTATAGATCTGAAGCTTTTCCATCTAGATCACATGTCAAAAGCAAAATTTCATCGGAATGACAGATCATTTTTCATGCACTTTTCGTAATGTTTTGCAGAAATCACTGATTTTAAAATGATTTTATCTACTACAATATTAGAGAAAAAGACGTCCCCTTGTCTCCTCTTTCGATTGGTGAAAACAACAGGTCTCTAGCTGTTTGCATTCTCGGGTTATTCAAAAAACAGCCACGCCTATTGTTTTTTGAAAACGATAATAGTACATGTTTCAGAATGTGAGTGTCGGTGTGCGTAGAACGAAGATATCCATATCGCATTCACACTCCACCCTAGTCATGAGGATGCAAGCTAGCATCAAGAAAACAGAACAATTTGAAGAAACTAGTTGATATGAACGGCAAAACAAAAAAAAAAACAAGTTTAAAAATTTAAGTAATGTAATGCTCATCAAATAACACCTACCAGTGATGAAAACTGAATCGAAGAGAATCGAATATTATTTGGTTCAAATCCAATCGAATTCCTTCTCACATATTCCGTCCATAATGACTTCTACCATTATATTTAGTGGCATAGTCAGATTAATTTGAAATTAATTAATACGCAATTTGGAAATAGGTAATTTTTCAATTGCAAAGATTGTCGATGATTGTCAATGTGGGTTAATCATATAATTTAGCTTAAAATTGAAAACAAAGAGTAGTTTGTTTTTTGCTTTTAGCAACAAAAACTTTTCTTCTTTTTTTTGAGGCGTTTCTCTCAGAATAAAAACACCTTTTTTTTGTTTGTAGATATATTTTTGACTAGTTTCAGCGGTCTTTGAAAAGCTGCCTTTTCAAAATCTACAAGAGCGAGTGGACAACGAAGGAACAATTAAGAAATAACAATAAAGAACAAATAAAAGATCTCTGAGAGTCTAAAGTACCTCAGAAATAGAACAACCGTTCAATGTTTTTGTTGACATAATCGCCATTGGTTTAAATTGTGGTTGTGTAATGAGTTTGTAAACGCGTCTTTGGTGTTTGCTGATGTTTGTCGATGTCGTTGATCTATGTAAGTGGGTTCGCTGCTGAATTTCTTTCTTGAATATGTGAACAAGAGCATCTGTTTCTTTTATTCGTACCCAAACACCCTTATTCAATCAATACATTGAGCGAGGCGAACCTCTTTGAAGAACATCCACAGTTTTTGCTAATAAGTAGGCCTACTCTAGAACTCAAAGAATTATACTTTCATAAAAACTCTGGCTTAATCACTGACTCCTTTTCTGAGATATGGCACTGTCAAGACTTCTGTGGACTAAAAGATAAGTTTTTAGAGCGTTTCGTAAAAATTCTATATGCACGGTTTAATGTTTCCCAAAGTAGTTTCCAATTGAAACTTCTTCAGGTTTTCTCTTAAAAATAATGTGTTAAATTAAGCCAAACTTGATGATCTTGGTTGAAAAGGTTCGGTCTTGACGGACGTGAAGGGTGTAGGGTGTGGGTGTTCACTGCAACCATGCTAACACTAATATCCACAGTCACAGTCTACACCACATCGATAGCGACACTCAACCCATACATACACCCACACCCACCCACACACCCACCCACACCCACACCCACTCAAAAAAAAAAGTTCCTCGCCTTGCTGATGTCTATTAGATATTTCTCTTGTCAAATATGGTCTTGATTTGCTGACTATGGATCATACGAAAGTATCAACTCCAATTTTTGTTCTCTAAATGATTTGGTAATGACTAATTGTTGTACTTTGCTAAACTTATGAACCGATAAAGTGAGTTGTTTCTCTAAAAAGTGAACTGTCAAATACAACTCTAACAGAGAAAATGATCAAGCAGTGCGAGATTTATTTGTCGAGATCGGGAATTTGTTTTTTTGATATCGTGCAAGTCTCTTTGCATGCATTTCAACCTATGTCGTCTTTGATTGAGAAGACATGCTGTATTCTTTGCATTGCTTCGTCCAAGGTAACTATTATTGAAAGAGAAACAGAAAGCGTACATGTCAAGTTTATTGCCATTATTTGTTGACTGTAACCATTTATAATGATACAACATGAAGAGAAGTAAATAGGCAAGCAGCAATCATTTCAATGGAGATAAGGACGACGAATCATAAATAGCAGTAAAAAAGGATCAAGATTGAAGAATTCTTTTTTGACGAGTCAGTTTTTTAAAGAAGAGAAAAAAGCAGTGACTAAAGGTAAATGTCAAGTGATAACTATAGATCATTTAAGCGAATAAGACTCGCTCGAAGGAGAAATGTCTTGGTTTTGGCTATGAGATTGAACTTTCCAAAATAAATCAAGTATTTGGAGAAAAATTTTTACAATTCTACATTCCTATCATACTTAATGTAACCTTTAGCTTGCTAAATTATGCAAAACAAAAAAAAACTGCAGTTGAGCGTTGATTTATCTAAATCAACCAACGTTTTCTGTCAGCTAGACTGTATATAACTCTATCCAAGAGTAAATAGGTAGAATATTTTCTTATTTGTCTATTTGATAGAAATCTTTGATATAAAGATCTTCATTATCTCTATGCGAAAACTAAACTATATCAAACACTAACGAAGAAATAATCTGTATCACAACTTTGATTATCTGACCTAGCGAGTGAGTCCTGTTTGATTATTGCGAAAACATTTGTGTCCATTATTGTTCTGTCTTGTATATCAATTGTATTTATCCTGGAAACAATCCATGCAAAACAGGTGAGAGGTAACTAATTTGTCAAGTTAGTTTATCTTTTACATTGATTTTATCTAGGCAATCGTTTCTTCGATCATGGATATTATATTCGATCATTCTTCTAGTCATATTCTGGGTTTATTTGTCAAAGTTCAAGAACATTGAAATAAAAAACAATCTTATCTGGACATTCAATACGTCTACCGGCGTATATGAAATCGAAGGAAGACCTCCTCTGTGGTTGTACTGGGATAATACGAAGACGATGCCTTCTCACATCTGTTTATCACTCAAAACATTACATTGTCACAATCGACAGGATTTTTCTCTCAAATTAGTAACGAAAGCAACGGCCAAGCAATATATCATTGATATTCATTCGGCTTTTGATCGTTTAATACCGGCACATCAAGCCGACTATGTTCGGTGTCGACTTCTTGAAATATTTGGTGGAATGTATGTTGATATTGACATTGTAGCACTTCAATCTTTCAAAAAATGGTATGATTATTTGACTCAATATGATATTGTCGGTTACAGTTGGAAGCCAGATGGAGATGAAATAGGTAAGTGAATTTTCTCGAGAAATGTTCAAGTTAGAACTTGTCAAAGTTCCATCTTGTATAACAACTAATGAGTTATGAAGAAAAAAATTTCAAATCTTTTTCTATGCATTCAACAAATCTCGTCTCTCTTTTAATGTACTCGATTATGTTGAGAAATACAGTAGTGTTTATTTCTTTTAGGTATTGGCACTCTAGGTCCCGTTCGTGCTCATCATCCACTTTTCGTACATTACAAGAATGTGTCACATACGCTTTTAAATAGAAAATTTATCAGTAAAACTCAAAACGATGTTCTTCAATGGGCAGAACTTCTTCGAGAGATAATTGTGCCAAAATTTCATAAACTCTTAGAAATGAATCTGACACGTGCGTTGATGTTCGATGGACCAACAACAGTTGGACAAATAGTAACGAGAAATCCATTGAGACAAGTCAATGAAAGTGTTATCCAAACTCTAAATATGACCGTCCCATACTTGATGTATCCTAATAGTATAATGGCAAAATTGAAATCCGAACAGCAGATTCTCGATTCAACAACACTATTGGGCAGATTGTTCAAGATAAGTTTGGAATCAAAGAATTGTGGAATCATTCCTAGTTGCAGCGAGCTTCATAGATTGTATTCGTGAGACAAATTTTCATTGTCAATCGAGCTATATTTTTTCTGTACTATGAATTCTCTTTAGAAACTACAAAGACATTTCATAAGTACAAGTAGCTATAACTGTTTTCCATTAAATCTGCCACTAGATCGCATCAAATGACTTCGATTTAGATGTAAACCGTTTGTTTTTCATGATTTGGATCGAAATCTCAGAAGACACGACAATGTACTCTCATAAATAAAATCCAAAACACTCAATGTAGCGTGCGATACTCTTAGTATGCGGTAAATATCTACTTGAAAGCTTTTGAATGAAATAAGTTGACATGATAGTCAATCGAATACTTTTTATTTGAACAAAGTACTTTTTAAAAGTCGTCTACAAACTCTGCCGTCGACTTTGCTTAATAGTCTAATAAATGAAATATTTCATTTAATTAGGTATGTACAAGAATTACTTTCGAATCGAATTCTATCTCATTCCAAGTAAATGAAGAATTTGGTCTATTCGAAGTCTTACATTGAATTATTACCAATAGGATACTGTCACATTGAACGAGTTTCAGCTTTAAAAGAAAAAAAAAAGACTCAGCACGATGAATTCTAATTGAAACTTCTTAGAATGTAGACTTTTCAGTATGATCAGAGTAAGGACATTTATGTAACGATTGTTGCGCACTCTGATTTAGATCCCATCTCTTGTAGTCTCAGCATTAAGAATTTCAAACTTCTCTAAGTCCATCACATTAGCTTCACATCGATTTCGAAAACATAAATAAATTGTTTATTTGTCAGTCAATATGCACGAATTTTATTATCGAATAATCATGTATCTATACATACTCGTTTCGTTATTGAAGATCTATTTATTGCTTATAGAACAATTATCTTTCGTTTTTTATTGTTGCATGCTATTACAAAGATTAGTGCCAGATATATTAACATCTGACTGCTAAGCGAAAAGGAGAAAATTTTCTATTCTTCCTTTTCTTTGCCGCTTCCTTCATCAACTGTAGCATTAACATAACAAATAAAAAGAACATGAGTATCAATCTGGTTCAAATGAAATGTAATCGAATATCGTTTCTTATTAAAAAAAAGCAGCGTTCAATTCGGATCGGAGTTGGTATTAGCATCTTTGTTTTAATCAGCATTTTCTATATTCGTTCTCGACTCAATTATAAACTTGATCCATATGAAACTATTTTACGTTATCGTCATAATGAGAAGATGCAGAACCTAACTCGTATTCTCTGTTTAATTCTTACATCAGCAAATACTCTTGTTACAAGAGCACGAGCTGTTCATGAAACATGGGCATCACGATGTGACAAATATTATTTTATTTGTGAGACAATACCAAAAAACCTAACGAATAATGAGATTCAACTTATCAAATCTATGTCAATAGCACCAATTAACAATACTCTACCTGGTTATGATCATTTAACATTAAAATCAAGATTAGGCTTTTATTTCGCATATGAGCATCATCAAAATGATTTCGATTGGTTCGTTAAAGCAGATGATGATACTTATTTAATAGTTGAAAATTTAAAATTATTTTTAAGTAAACAAAACACATCTGAACCAATTACATTCGGCTATAATTTTAAGGTAATATTTAATTAGAATCTAATTTAAACAGCTGTATGTTCTTAGAAAAATTAATGAAATCTATAGCTATTGATTAGGATGAAAAAAGAAATTACGTAAAATTGAAGTTTGAAAAATTCAATGAATTGACTTATAAATAGACAAAAATACAGAGCTGAATATGATTCAACTGGAATTGCATTATATCATGAAATTTACTATTTGCATTCACTGTTCTTCGTATAAGTATGAGTTATAAAATCAAATGATAATTAAGAAAAAGAATGTGTAATAACTGTTTGGTGTGATGTATACAATATCTTTTTGAAACATCACATTTCTTGTAATGAATTCTGCAACGAAAGACAGAGATATAATATTACGTTTATTATGTCACTATTCTTATCAGAAAATAATAAAACCATTCTTAAACATAGTAAATTTATTTTCAAGTAAGGTGCCGGCAATGCGAATTTCAAGTAAAATTTTTTTTTCGCATTTCGTTTACATCATTTGATAGAGCGTGAGCTGCTGATCACGAAAACCTAATTTTTAGCCTTAGCAAATGGTTTCTTCCAGTCGAAAAATACGAAATACTAGAAAGATGTCGATTTTCGAGAAAAACACGTCATTTCTCGAAATGTGCAAAATTTTCTACTTTGCTCTTTCTTTTTGCTTCTGAAAATAATTTTTTCAGATTCAGTATCAAAAATTGAATAGGAAAAATTTCTTAAATCGACTCAAGATCGAAAACTCTTTCGGTGGCGGCGCTTCAAATCGGGTCGAATGTATCACGTATAGGTCGATTTTGTAAACCTATCTAGTTTTTCTACGTAAGCAATGTAGCCAAATATTTTATCTCATTCGACTCATCGTACCACCAGGCAAAAAGTTACGTATCCTTTTTTTTTCTTTCCTTTCCTATGTTGAGAAATTTCGTATTTTTCGACCGGAAGGAACCATTTGCTAAGGCTAAAAATTAGGTTTTCGTGATCAGCAGCTCACGCTCTATCAAATGATGTAAAAGAAATGCGAAAAAAAATTTTTACTT